CCCCCCCCCCCCCCCCCCCCCAAAGCATAGAGAGCTGCATATGCAGCCCACAGTGATAAACAGGTTGAGAATCACTGGTCTGGGTGCATCTATGTCTCTTGCACCGGCACATCTGAGCACAACATCACAAGGCCTCTGAACCAGTCCTCCTCTGAACCCTTCCTCCTCTGGGGTCAAGGGAATTGGCCACAGAATCCTTAGCTAATCCTGGTCAAAGCAGATATGACAGACTGACGAAAAAGAATAGTAATTATGCCCTAAAATCCTTTTAGTGCTACCTATACAAATAGGTGAGATACATCTTTCAATTTAAAAAGCAAACAGACAAACTGTTACCTATTCACTACTGCCTTCCTTTTGTTTCTTCTTTCTAAAAATGAACTCTCTTTTGTGGTTAGAATTTGGGTTTTAAGAGATTATTTGTTTTATTCTGTTTAGCACCCAAAACATTTTGGTTTTTTTTTGTGGAGAGGGGAAATCTTAAACTATTTAAACCAATTTCCAAACATGTGTGCCTGAAGTTAGGCATCTAAATACCCATTTTAGGTATATAAATGCTAAATTAGAGTGCCTAAGCATGGATATGGTTTCAGGAACCTAAAACAGGCACTTAAGTGTCTAAATACAGATTTCTGCACATAAAGAATCCAAGCTTCAAAATCTGGCCCAAAATTATAATAGTTTTAATAATTATATTTATGTAACCTATTGGGTTTTGAAGGACTAGCAAGTCTTACTTTGGAGCTCATGGGCAGGGTGGGAAATTGGGGAATGAGTCAAAAAGATTTAGAAAGGGAACACCACGCATTTAAACGGTCTCTCTCTCAGTTTCCAGTTCCCACAGGATTGCAAAGATTCTAGATTGTAAGTGACATTAGGTAAGTTTCCATTTCCTTTGCAACACGCTTTCTGGTTGATTTACCTATTTATTAAATTGTCTGAAGTAATGCGGTTTTTATATGAATTTTTTCATTTCTCTGTTAGCACTAACATGTTATGGCCGCAGAACTAAGTGCAAAATAAACATTATTCGACAATAATCCTCTTTGGCTACACTGCTTCAAGGGAGTTCACTCCTGCTGAACCTCCTGAAGGCAGATCTGATTAGCTGGGATAAACAGGAAACTGAATCACACAGTTACAATGTCTATTGGGTGCTTTTGTTTTTAAGTTTGAGGAAAGCTAAGGAGACTGTATTGCGGTGTGTAAGCTTGGAGCACCTTTCAGGCAGTTTCATGAGAGCAAGCGATGAAGTAATATGGCCCAATAATAAGGATATTAGATTTTGATGGCAAAATAAATTGTGTTTGGAAAAGGAGGACAGTACATGGCTTTTTGGATGTAAATAGAAACAAAGGTATTGTGAGAGACAAGGCATTGAAACGTCTTCTGATTAGGCCAGAAATGATCAACTTTACTTTTTCTAGTAACATATTATGATTTACAGGAGCGAGTTAAAAAGGATTAACCAGTTGAACAAAACTGCTACTTACCTTTCTAGATGTATGTAATAAAACACAGCCAGCACTTTCACTTTCTACTGGAAAAGAATTTGAGAAGAATTTTACAATCATAGGTATCTGACAGGCAACAGGCATCAAATGAAGGGTTTGCAAATATTCTACAATATAATGCAAGGTGAAAGTTTATCATTCTACTGACAAATGAAGCTTTTTGGTCTGACACTGGCAACATTTAATAATCTTTCCAGACAAATTTGTGACTGCAGCAACAAAAGAGCTATTCCGTGTGCAGAAATTTTCTTCAATATTGAAATCAACACACACAAAATGGAAATAAGTCAGCAAAATGCTTCAAGCTTCTGCAAAAATATGATTTTTTCCATTAGTGACAAGATGATTTTCATCTAATCCCCAATCCAGTAGGTAAAATATATAATTGAATCCTACACATCTGTCTCTCATTCAGGTTTACTGACAAAATGTTTCAAAGGATCAAGAGTATTTCCTCATTTAGAGTCCAACCATGCATTCACAACTAATTAATGCAAAAACCTCCTATTGACTTCAGTGGAGCAGTTGTGACAGACTGACATGACGACATGGAGACAGGATGGGAAAACATCACCACCACCTACTTATAAATGATCAAACTCTATGGCATTACCTTGACAAGACCAAGAACTGCAAACTATTTTTGGAGTTTTTGTCGACTTATTTTGTGAGTAATATTACACGCCTTAGAAAAAGGCACTGAGAAAGTCATTTGAATGTGATTCTGTATTCTAAATTCTTACCTCTGTTTGCTAGCCACACAATATATAGTAAAGCGATTTTTAATTTGTTACCTAAATTATGGAGAACTGCATAGCAACGCATAGGAAATTCCTACTCCCAATCCTCTCCAAACAGCAAAATAAATTCATAATCAATTAAGAAAATTTTGCATATCTATAGCTGTTGGTATGAAGTAGGAAACACTCTAGGAAATACTTTCTGCCTCCATACATTTGTACTGTAATATTAAAAAAGAGAGTTTACCTCTGGTGTATCAAGTAATAAGTAATTTCCCATGTACGTTAACCAAAAAGACAGTTGAATGGCCAGTGGATAAAACGTCTGCCCTATATTTCAAAGGTCTGAATTCATATCTGTTGGGATTGCACTTCTGTTCAAAATTCCTCCTTTCCTCTTCACAGTACCAAAAGCACCACTGTATTTTCAGTCCTTTATTGTTTTAGGACACAAAAATACAGTGAAAATGCATAAACAACTCTTCCACGATGCCACTGAGTTTAATGGAAATACGGAACCCATCTTTGTTGAAGAAGAAGTAAAAAGTGCAAGAGAACTTCTGTATGTGGAGCCGTGACTGGGTAGAGTACAATCAAGGCTTTTAAAAGCTACTAATCTTTTCTAAATTGGCTTTTTTAAAACCACATCTTTAAATGGCTGAACTGCTTCTATTATTTATTTTTATATGCAAAAATATTTTGGATCCACTCCCCCTCTCGTTTACAAGTACTACCTGGGCCACATCCTCAAGTGGTGCTCTGCTTAAC